GTGTGATTGGCCAACACCAGACAATGTGGGAGAGTTAAGAAGTTTCTTGGGACTCTGTACGTATTACTGGAAGTTTGTGAAGAACTTTGCAGCTATAGCTGCTCCACTACATGATTTGACAAAAAAAAGGCCAGAAGTTCGAATGGACAGTTCCTTGCCAGCATTCTTTCAAGACATTGAAAGAAAAATTGGCCTCAGCTCTATTATTAAAGCTTCCAAATCCCTCACTGCCATACATACTGGATTTTGATCATCTTCTGATCATATTTTCTTCATCCCTCGGCCCTGGCTGTCACTGGGTCTGGTCTTGACACGAGACTCGAGGCATTCCATGTCATGTCCTCTTGGTGGTACCCCTTTGGCTGGCTTAACCTTGCTTCCCCCTATTATTCCACTTGACAACCCAACCCCTCTTCCCCTGCCAATTATACATTCTATTTCTTCAAGACCTCCCAATTCATTTCCATCAAGGATCTCGTTCTTCCACCCATACATTTGGATTTGTATGGTCCTTCACCTGTTAAAATGGACTTTCCAATCTGGTAATATTTTTCTTTCCCATTCCAGTAGTCCTTATACTTGGTCCATCTATCCTCACAAGGGGTGTTGCTTTCAACATTGGTCCATCTGTCACCACTTTCCTCCTGATTTTGAGAAAGGCAAAAGATTGAAGACAAGGCCACCCCATAACCAACAATGGTAGAGACAGCTGAAACCTGTCAAACAACCAGGTAAAAGAAACTGAGATGTCTGATGGGAGAACATACTGCGAGTTTTTCCTCCCCAGTTCTCTATACCTTATTCATAGACACGCTCACCCTGTTCCGATGTCTGTATAGGACCTCAATGTCATCCTGCTTGCTCTTACCCATGCCCTTTCAAGCCATTGGCAACCTCCAACTTCTACCACTTTTCTCTTCAGACATATTATTTTTACTTCTCACCTGTGGTCGCTATCATTCAGTGTTTTATGCCATTGATGCATCCTGCATCCTATTTCATCATCCTCATATTCTTCTTTCTCTGAACTAGTTCTTCCTCCCTTCGGCCACTTGGGGAGGAGACCACTTTCTTTCTCCTCTCTCCTTTCCTTCTATTTCACTCTTCTATGACATTGAGACCCAGATAGACTTTATTGCCTTGTTCATGCTGCTCCTTATTACTTAGCTCATACTTCTCACTTTTGAGGTTTCTCTGTTCAACTCCACATTCCATTTGTTTCCTCTTCCTCCAGGAAGAAATATCCTTCTACCCTTATAGCTAAGGTCTGTCAATTTCTTTGTTTTACTTCTCATAGGATGTTGTTGCCTGAAGATGGTCCACATTTTGTCCTATCAGATTTATCACCTATCTCATTCCCTCACTGCTCATTTACTATGGCAGCTGGACAAGATCCTTCAAGCTGGCATATAGACTACTTTACATAACTTTGTCACCCACTCTCATCACCATCTGGCCATCTAGTCTCCTAAAGGTTATGACCTGCTTCCATTTGCCATCCTACAGTCTACTCACTGTATTTAGACAGGTGAGTACATTCCCTTTCTGATTATAGCACTTGCTTACAGGATCCCATCAGGTGGCTGGTAGTGCCTCCCAGGTTACACTTATTTTCCAAAATTTTACATTGAGCTAGGATAATGGAAAGTGCTCATACCATCCACTCTATCTAACCACCCATATATGCCCACTGTTGAGATGGGATGTTCAACAAGACCACTTGGATAAGACAGTAGTCACATATCAGACCTTACCTATTCCATGGACTATCATAGAAAAATCCAGCACCAGGAGGAACTCTGCCTGCTTCCCTTGCTCGCAGGTGCTGGCTTTTCAAAATAGGGTTACCCAGTCACCCATTGCACTGTCTTCAGAAAAAGATATTTCCAGCTGAAACAGGACCGATGTGGATCTGACCATGTTCTATGAGTCCCCCATTGTGAATTCCTCTCCTTTTTTTTTCTGTGGAGTGCAGGAGACTTTTACTACATACTAGTTCCTAGCCACTGGAGTGGATCCTAACTGCTGGGGCTAGAATAATGGGTGCTAATTACTGGGAAATGGGGCAGTGGTGACACTGTCAGTGTAGTGCAGATCACCCCTTATATAATAATACCTACAAACGAGAAGCACGTCATAAGATACTATGTCCTCATACTGCAGTCTGCATCTGTTCAGTAGAATTGAGGGTAGCATATTACAAGACTATTCCCTCCTCCTGGAGCTTATGACTATCCAGTAGAGTTGAGGCAAGCACATTTTAAGATATCTGCCCTCCTCCAGCAAGCTGCAACTGTCCAGTAGCATCA